AAAATGCCAGTATTTTGAATATATGCAAATTTGTGGATTTTAATTGAATGTTTACATAGTAAAAGTGACAGCTTCGTGTTTGCATTTTCCCGCAATGTGATTTTTAATACAAACGATTCAAAATATTCATTATTAGTAAAATCCAAGTACTGGTCTATTATCAATGCTGTGTTCTGATTGGTTGAGCTACTACTAGGCTATATTTTATAGCCCACTAGTAGTTTTGAGCTACAGTTGTTTTGTCTCTATGTTTTTGACCAACTAGTTGTATTTTACTTACTCGGGCTCGAGGAATAATTGTTAAATAGTAAAACTCAATCAACACATAAAGCAATTTACGAATGGATAGAAATAGCAAAGAAATTAAGGCCTGTTTACATGGAGATGGGGGACCCCAGGCAGGTGAGGTAACCCGCTTAGGTGGGGTAGGTAACCCGCCTGTCCATATAATCTCTCATTTCAATTTGATCACGTTTAAATGATAGGTGGGGTGACCCTCCACATGTTACCTCACCTGCCTGGGGTCCCCCACCTCCATGTAAACAGGGCCTTAATCTGGCTTAACTCACTTCGAGAGCATATTTCCTGTAATATGATATTTGAAGGGCCATTCCTCACCAACGCAGACACCTAGTTACGTTTTTAAAAACAACGGAGCATAATATCCTATTTAAACCTTTTTAAAAAGCCCAAGAACGATCAGCATCAAATTCCTCCTTGTCATAACGACGCTTTATAAAACAGAGAATGCGAGATAACAGGTATCGAACCCAACGCTTTAGGATGAGAGGGTAGGGACTTCACAAGCTGAAGTTTACAACAGGGTAGGGAAATCTGTCATTTGGGTCTGTAAAAGGGCCCAAAAGGGCTAACTGATGAATTTCATGGCTTTAAAAGTCGAGAAAACGTTCTATTTTTGTGCCTGATCCTATTTAAAAGACAGTGGATTTACAGAAATTAAAAGAGATGCAAAGTTCTAAACAAGGTATAAGAAAGGAGTACAGTGTTCGTGAAAAATGGTATATGAAAGGGTAAGGGGTTGGAGCTTGGGGCGGAGACTCCCTGTTTAAACATTTGTTGAGTACCACCCTCCCGGGCCTTAGCATCATTCTTACACCGATGCCAGCATAAAGCTTTCTGGCAATAGCGTACCGAAGTGTGACGTCATAGAAAATGAAATTTGTGAAATTATGGGATTTGTTAAGATATTCTGAAAGAACAACGTCCAAGACACCTACTCGCCAAAAATTAGCAATTTGGGGCAGATTGTCTCTGAGATATTAACCCAGTTATGCTCCGATGACTCCATACAAATCCTTCTAAATCTTACCTGGTTCCTAATCTTATGAACCAAGCCAAATTTAGAAGGATTTGTATGGAATCGTCACAGCATAACTGGGCTAATATCTCAGAGACAATTTGCTCCGAATTGATAATTTTTGGCGAGTAGGCGTCTTGGACGTTGTTCTTTCAGAATATCTTAACAAATCCCATAATTTCACAAATTTCATTTTTATGACGTCATCACTTCGTACTCTATAAGCCAGTAAGCTAAAGAAAAAAAACAAGAAAAAGAAACGCTTGCATTTTTAGAGTCTCGCTGCTAAAGCAAGCTCGACTAATAAACTCCCTGAAGGCCTGTTTACACAGGCGGTTTTTATGCTATTTTGGCTGGGATTTTAATTACTTAGTACATTCCTGTTTTCGACATTACGTACGTCAACTACTGCGACAGCTATACGCGTATGGCTGCATGTTGCCAATGAATCCACCCTTTTAAGGATTAAATCTATTATCGATTACGCTTTTAATAATTTCTTTAAGAAACCTTCGACCTGAAGCCAGGAATCGCGAAAAGCAGCGACGACATTCTTACAGCACGTCAAATACCTCCTCTACCATTTCTGACTATGTGCCTGTGGATCCAGTTCAAAACCGCTCTCCATGATCAAAGATGGACTATGGCTCTCTACTTTGTCGGCGGGAGTAGGGTTCAACTGCTTCAATTATATTGGAGAAGGGATGGTGACAAAATGACTTTAGATGTTAATCAGATTACATCGAAAACACAGTACTATAAGGTAGAAGACAGGTACGAAACTGGTTTGCGTGGTATCTTTTAAAAAAAGTCCAATATCCTCTCGGTTAGTAAAACTGGTCTAGAAATGCTAAGCTGTGCGATGACACGCAGTCTAGGATACAATGGTCACAAAGAAATAACCTTTAGTTCATGAACAGTGAAGTTAACAGTGATCTGTAACCACTGCATGCTCCCCATTTTTTGCAGAATCACCTCTAAAAACTATCTGGATGATCTACGATGGCACCATTATTGCATTTCGTTTTCTGGAGAAAGCGGCGTTTTCTCGCAATACCAAGACGGCATCAAGACGAAGACCGAAACAGGTGTTGCTCTTGGATATGACGGCGGAGGGACTCTTCAGTTGGGTATCAGAAACGGTCATGAATTCAAGTTTACTGGCTTTAATCTGTGGGATAGGGTTCTTCCTCCAGAAGAAATCAAACAAATGGCGAATTCCTGCATGAAGGGAATTGGAAATGTCAAGAACTGGTTTGATTTCGCAGACGCTGCCAAATCCATCAGCTCTATGGAAGTGCTTTCCCCATCCCAGTGCATTGCTCCGCCTCAGTCTGAGGCAGAGGTAGAATCCCCGACCACACCCCCGGCAAGAGATAATAACCAAGGAGTCCGTGTCGATTGACATCATGTTTAGAAACCTCGATTGACTGCTTGATTTGGAATATTACAGTGTTTGCTTGCTTTATAGCTTCTTTACGCAAGGCCTCAGAAAATGCCATAACGATCTCACATTCTAGCCACCTTTAGGGGCGTCGATAAAACCCGGAACATGGAACATCCCGGAACATTCCGGACCATTCCGGAACATCCTGGAACATGAAAAAAATAAAATATTTTTTTATGAAAAAATAATTAATTAAATAATAATATTAATAATAATAATAATAAATAATAATAATAATGAAAAGAACAATAGATAGAAAACAGTTTTTGCAAAAATTTATAATAACAAAATAAATAACATAACAAAAACGAAAAATAAAGAAACAAACCAACAAACAAAGAAAAAGAAACTGGAATCATCTCCGAGTATGAGAAAACAATATTTTGTCGCAATGAATTTTTTGGGCGAGTGAGGGTCCATTTAAATGACAGTAATGAGTAAAGGCTTGCTTCTAAATTCAAAATATATTAAAATGGGTCGCGAGGAGGGGGTTTTCAAGCTTTCCTCACACAACCACCTCTTGTAAATGTTTGGCATGCGGTTTAACGGTTATCAATTTTCGGCTTTGCGACCGTAAGAAGAGCTTAGGGGCTCGTCGCTTTGGACTTGGATAATTAAATTAAAGATTCACATTCGCCGTGAATAGTTGCAGTGGCAGTGGTAGCGCAGCGGTAGTTTCTAACTGTTATCAGTTAGCCTGAATTTTAGCCGTCTCCCCGCAAACTCCTCTCGCGACTCGAGGAAACGTCTGAAATATCATGCTGACCGTAAACAGTACAGAAACTACTACGAATGCGAGTATTGTCCACAAAAATCCAAAGACAGGAGCCCCTATACTCTGTTTAAGTTCGCAGAGCCGCCTAGTCTAAGTAATTCATATCAACCTCAAGTGAAGCAAAGCACCTCAAGTAAGCAAATGTCGGTTATATATAAGGAGACTATATGTTGGCTTGAAATGAACTACTTACTGACTTGGCTTGACATGAAATACTGCACCGACATTTCAGAACATTGCAGAACCGTAAATGGATAACCGCCAAATGATTAACTCATGGCAAACAATTACAAGAGGTAGCTGTGTGAGGCCCCCCTCCTCGCGACCCATTTTAATATATTTTGAATTTAGAAGCAAGCCTTTACTCATTAGTGTCATTTGCATGAACCCTCACTCGCCCAACAAATTTTAATTTGTTGCGACAAAATATTGTTTTCTCATACTCAGAGAGGATACCAGTTTCTTTTCTTGATTATTTCATTATTTTTGTTTTTTTTTGTTATTTTACGTTATTTAATTTTACAAAAATTATTTTATTATAACTATTTTATTATATTTTTTTCATGAAAATTATTTTTATTTTTTCATGTTTCGGGATGTTCCGGAATGTTCCATGTTCCGGCTTTTATCGACGCCCCACCTTTAGCTTGCGAAGGCAAACGTATTTCCTGTTGTCGCTTCTCTCCGCCCGACCGGAAAACGCCTGCGTTCGCACGCTTATCTGTTTGTTACTTCTAGATTAACGTTTTTCTATAACCCTCTCTAAGTCCCAATAGTGACCAACATCAATTTTCTCCTGATAATATCCATACAAGGTCAAGAGATGAGGTTCTTAGAATCAATAATATTATCATCTAAGAGAAAATGCTTTGATCTTTTATCAAATTCTCTCAACTTATCCTTATAAGGAAAGTATGGAGATCAGTTTGAAGAATTTGTATGTCGATATTGGGGCTTAAAGGGATTATCTGTCAAGATCTTTCAGCTACCGATTTTTCTGAGTGCCATTGACAAGTTATTGTAGCTGACATGAGGCTATATAATTTATCATAAGACTGCGCAAACACAGCTATGCTACCAAGTCAAAATGTAATAGATAAGAGTACAACGTGCAACTGGAATTAAAAATAGAAATAATCGCGTATTACTCTATTGTTTCTTATAAATTATTTGACCCTGTTCTTACTAAGACGAGTCAATTAAATAAAACTTTTACAAGTGAAGCCATTGTTTTAAAGACTGAAAACAACAGCTACAATTGTAAATGGTGGGAATTTTAAATTTGGGTTCGGAAATGAGGTTACACATCCCTGCAATGGGAGTGAAATTTGCTAACCCTCCCCTTGACCTATCATGATCCTCCCCCTCTTGTATAAATGATAAAATCTAGTTCTTGCAATACACTAGGGTGAGTCAGTATTATGAAAGCTCAAAACATATTTCTAATCTGTTCTTTGTAATGCCATATACATACATTTTAGATGACAGCATTAAGAGTCCGACTCTGATTCTGACAGCTGATCACTCGACTCTCCTATTTCTCCCAGATTGTTTTAGAAAATAAAGAACTTCTTTTTTCTTTTGTGGTTGAACCTCTACGTGATCACGGACACATTGCATGACCATCCCCCTTTTAACGGCCCATTTTTCATGACCCCACCCTTTTCTGCAGTCTCAAAAAGTTGTGACCCACCCTCTGTTTCCACCCCCCTCCCCCCTGCTAATTTCTGACAAGTCCCTAATTAATAATCTAAACTCGAGGGAAAGATTTATGTGAAGTATAAACAGTTACAAAAGGATTGCTTTGAGCGACCTCTTCATGCTTCTTTATTTCCTACAACGGATTTATTTCTGTACGCCAAATGAAACTACAAATACGCTTGTCATAAAATCTAACAAAATGACAAACAAAGACAGTAAAATGCACTATTGCTCTTTTACAGTTTGACGCTTCCTTAACCTGCATGTATCATGAACGACTGTAACTACGATAAAATGTCTGCATTAACTCAAGAGCATTCATTCATCAGTTAAAAAAAAAAAACGCCTGACCCTGAGAACATCTACGTAATCTGAGAGTTATATCCTTTAGCCTCTGTGATATTAGTAACGTTTGCTTAGGCTTCGGGTTTTGCCTCACCACTACCCCCCGAGGCTACTTCCATGGCTTCTCCTGCACTCTCCCCCTCCCCCTCTTTCTTCTCCTTCTTGGCTCCTTCTTCCCCCTGACCACTGTCTTCGCGCCTTCTTTTAAAGCGGCCACGGCCGCGTCGGAACTTCGTTGGGGGAGGGAGTGGGTCAATGCCGAGAACTTTGTGCAGTTGACGGAATGCTGTAAGTCGCAGGGCGTGCTGGTAGGAGAGAAGGGAGCAGCAATTAATGTCAAAGCCAAAATTAAGTCTTGGCGAAACAATGTGGGATGTTGTAAGAGGCCTATCAGGCTCATTAAATCAGTTTTTCCCTCCACAATGTGTCAGGTAGAGTTTGCTCATCACTTAGGCCTCAAAAGAGAGCATCCAATATAAAATAAACAAAAGTTAAGTGTGGGCTGTGGTTGTTTCAATAACCATATACTCTTTGCCCATGAAGTGTATGCTACGGCAAGCTAGCAAGGGCTTTGGGACTACCCACTGTGTGATTCTTGGTACACTTACAAGTCTGTGAACGAAATGCTGTGGTGTGACCATTCAAATGAAACCTCTTCAGCAGTAGTATTGCACAGTACTACTTTTATAGTATGGACATTAAGTCAAAACTTGTGAGTCTGGACAAAATCCTGTGGCGTGATCATTCAAACGAAAGCTCTTCAGCAGAAGTTTCACTTAGTACTGACTGTTCTCCACTATTTAACATAAAAAAGTTGTTTTTTTCTTCAATCTTGCCTTAGGGAGTAAAAGAATTACTACAATTGAACATTAAACAGAGGCTGCTGAAGTGGCATTAAAAGCAGGAAAAAAGTCTGTTATAGAGTAGGACTATGCCTTCTCAATAAAATAATCATAACAACTCTGGTGTCTACCTGTGCTGAGGCAGTTAGATCTTCTCTTTCTTGCATTGTTACCTCGCCTAAGGCATCAACAGTCTCCTTTTCACAAGGATCACACAATCCTGGGCCACCTGTGCATAAGTTAAAAGCAGAGTGATTACCCATTAGTTGGGTTCCAAAACAAAGAGTAGTAATTTGACACAGGTACCCCAACAAAGCAATATGCCAAAGGAACAACAATGAAAAGAAAACTTGTTTAAATTGCTCTTGAGAGCCCTAATTCACAACAGATACATTAAGAATGCACCACAGTTCTAAAAGTAAGACAACTTTAATGAAAAAATTTTGTCTCCTGGTTTAACTTGCATATACAAATGATTTGCAGTCATAAAAACCTAAAACCTTACAATTTACATTGCACAGAAGGAGAGTTTATGTTCAAATTACAATGCTATGCACTGGTCCTAAAAATGTCACTCATATTCTAAGGCTAACATATCAGCGAAATGACACACAAAATGTACTGAAAATGAGTAGTCTACCTTCAAGAAGAAGGCCACTAGAGATGCATTCTAGTACACGGCGGAAGGCTTCACCAGGCCCCAAGGGCTGCTGACTACTGCTCAGAGCCTTCTCCACCAAAAGTTCCATTGCCTACAAAAAAATATATTCATTAAGAGCCTGTTTCAGAACAGTTAAACCTCCATTAAGCGGCCACCGTTGGGTTACCGGCAAGTGGCAGCTTCATAGAGGTTGGCCGCTCAATGGCGGTTTGTCAAAAATTAGCATAAAATGAGCACAATCTTTAGCAGAAACATCACTTTATTTTGAAACAAACACCCGATGGGAGCAACATTTTTGGTCCACAATTGGTCGTCACTTTCTATCTCAGACTGTATTTTCCTTTATCATATTCTTGAAATATAGCCAAACTTAAGAGCTTGATGGCCGTTTAACAGGTGACAACAATGGTAAAACCCTCATTGGGGCAGACTAAAATTGGCCGTGGACGCTTTATAGAGGTCCAAGTTCTCATTCTAAGTACAGAATTATTTCTGGACTTTAAACACTGGCCACTTAATCGAGGGTGGTCCCTTAATGGAGGTTCAACTGTATTTTTCAGATGGTTTCAATGAGCGTCCAACCTGAAATTACTTTCAACAGTCCGGTTTTGAGTTCACTATGACAAGACAAATAGAAGCACTGAAAATGCCTCCAGCTAAGGGAAATAAAATTCAGAACCTACAGCGAGAAGATCTGTTTGCAACTGTCTATTTTTTTGTTAATTTTCAAATTTCAGGTGCATCCAAGCCCGTATTTAACAATATTTTGCTTTAGGTCAAGACTATTCCTTTAATAAGTTGTCATTTAGTGATACAATACAAAAAGGGACATTTCTTCACAAAAAGTACAGCAATATGGGTTTAACATTTATTACCCAATTATTAAGTGGAGAAAATGCTGGAATTCTCTGGCACAGGTCACGCATGACGCGTATAATGACAACACATGACTGAAGGCCATTGGCCTTTGCCTATGGAAAAACAAACAAAGTCAGCAGGAATAAAAAGAGTCCTAAGGCAAGGACAAAGTAATAAAGCTATTAACTAATTCTAACTAGTGAGCTAGCCACCTTAGTGAACAACCAGCTAAAAACAACCAGCTAAAAAGGTGCCATTTTGAGTTGCCTTTACTGTACTATACTTATCACTGAAAAAAGATTAACTGACTAAGAGAGACATCAAGACAATAGTTAAACTTGAGACCGGGGGATACAGTGGAAAGGTTCATGTATTTTGAACTAATTTGAATTTTACACGGATCAACAGAAATGTTGCAATAAATACTGTTCAAAAGGGGAAAGCTATAGCATGTATTACTGTGAAACTCCATTAAAACCACGAACATCAGAAGCATTCCTGGAATTTTATTGTTTTGAAAGGCAAAAGCCACTCAGGGGAGAGAAAACTAAAAGGGAAATGACAACAGGCCTTTTTCAAAAATACTATAATACTCTTTGCTGTCCCTCCAAAATTTTGCATAAGCATTGTTATCAATTTCTCTTGGGACTTACAATCACCCCAAGAAAAATAGAAAACAATACTGCAGCAAAATTTTGGAGGGACAAAAAAGAGTATGATGTTACTTTTGAGAAAGGCCTATAGTAATTAGCTTGTGGTTTTGATGTTTCCTTGCTTGCTCTCAACTGTTATTGGTCACCAAACAACCATCATTCTTCACGATATTCAGGTGTTCATGGTTTTAAGAGTTTGACAGTAAACAAACCAGGGTACAGCTGTAATAGAAGTTAACTGAAATCTCTTTCTGTAGAGAATATTAATTTTGCGGTGCTAAAACATACAGTTGATACACAGACATGGACATTTACTTATATAAACCACTGAATATGTTTATGTGTTTCACTACAAATAACACACACATGTATATCAAAGAGATTGAAATGCAAACTAGCACTTCACAAATAATGAAATGCCAATTTACAAAAAACAAAAACATAAAGAAATAAAAAAGAAAACAAAAAAATTTTGTTAACAGGGAAAACAGTGAAAACCAGGAAACAAAATTTGCATTCTGAGACCACAGTTTTCCAAAGAGGAAGTGTCACATGTCAGTTGACTGCACAAACATACATACATACCTTGCTTGGACTTCAAATGATACTATTTAACAGAGCACAAGGAAACACAACAAGCACCTCATGTAAAGAACTTTACTATGGAAGCAAATCTGAGCCTAGTACTATTGAATTCGATAACAATTCAATGAGAAAAGAAGTCATTTGCTTTTGGTGCAGAAAGCGAGATGATTTTCTTGATAATAAATTCTGAATATCGAGCAATGTGCACCCTCACTAAGCACACACACCCACAAAGAGCATAATTGCTTGTATTTCGGGAGGTGTAAACTGCAAGGGATGTCTAATTGGACAGCTCTTGCTGTGCCACTTTTAACTCCCTTGTACGGAGTGGATGGCATCAGATGTACTTCCAAAGATAGTTATCATAATAAGAGAGAATGTGACAATTCCTCTTAAAATATATTACAGCAAAGGAGCGAACCTGGAACCATTTAGCATGTCGTAGCGATGCCAATGCAGCTAAGCATTTTGGCCTGTCCAGCACTTGAGGATCGTCTTCAGCTACGGGTGAGAATCGGGTGGTTAAGTAGAAGGTGAAAAGATATCCCAGCAAGATCAAACATGACATTTACACCACAAACACACAACAAACATTTAAATGTCAATACTATTCTTTCTCTGAGGAGAATTTCAACTTTGATTTATTAGTAAGTTAATTTTATTCCAAAGTAAGGACATTCAAAATTGAATCACTTAGATAAAAAATGAATGATATCCTTTAAGTCAAGAAAATAAGCAGCTCTGTTTAAACAGAGGTGTTTGTACCTCATGATGTAGATTTCGAGGATGTTTAATAAATTAGACAAAAAATCTTGGCACGTCCTCATAGAACTATCAGCAAAGAAATTATATCAAGTTCTTCCAGATCTCCCACTTCACAGAATCTAAATTTCTCAGATTTAAAGCCATGAGGGTGTTCTCTACAGTTGTCTTAGCTATTAAAATGTGAAACTACATGTAGTGTTCATCTAAATTTAATTCAACAAAAAAAATTGAGCATTTCTTTTACTTGTAACCCAAAAATAATAAGCATAACCTGAACCACAAAAAGCAAATAAGTTGAACCCCCAATTAACCAAGTTCAACACAAACAAAACAGAACAACAAACACTCATGCAGAGAGACACAAATACAGACAAAGCTAGGAATCTTTGCACCTCCTTCCCCCACGCTGTAGCATGGATGGAAGACAGTCATCTGAGTGTACAGAAATTACACAGATAATTCTGCAGATTTGCAACAACATCAGAATGATAAATCAAGTCAAGCACAAGGCTGAGAAGCTTTGTGCACAGGCATTGCTTTTCAATAGCATAGATTGATTATCATTTACATTAATGAATAATATGAGATGTTTTTGGACTTTGGAGGAACAATAAATCAGTGATTGTCATCCTCTGTGTTGATAAAACAAGCATCACTACCATCTGTTGAAGTCCATCCACAAACCAATAATAATTTTGTAGGGGCAGGTCAAGGAACAACATTATTTTTCTTACACCAATAACCCAGGTTAAAACCAAAATTGTAGTCATCAAAATGCCCCTGATTTTTGTACATACTGTAATAAAATCCACTGCCCTTCCATTCAGCTGAAGGCAATTTGATTGTATGTTCCTCAAAAGCAAACTCAGTGGTAGAATGTTACTGATAACATTTCAAACTAAATGTAAAGTAAAAATCACAGGGCCCTTAATAAGAGAACTTGTAACAAGCACATTTGTGTCATTTAATTTTGCCATATCCATTCAAAAATCAGTGCAGACCGTTAACCATCAGAGGAGAAATTTACCAATCCAATGTATTAAACAAACACATGTCGGCAATGTTACATCAGGGAAGGGACTTATTAGGACCCTGTGAAATTAAAATAGATGTAAAACATGTACCGTGGTCAGCATCATCACCCTCCCGCATGACAGGTGAGGTCAGTGTGATGGTAACAACAACTTTAGGGTCACTGGTGGTGACGACTTTAAGGGCAGCTTCCTCATAGACTACTTTTACTTCATACTTCTCTTCTGACACTTTCTGCAGTAGAAATAATTTTATGTAACCTTTAGTTTAAACCTTAGCTATTAGATATGATCTTTCTTGAGCATCCCATTACAGTCACCCAAACAAGAAGCCAAACATTGTGACAACTTACTGCAATGTGTTCTGGCAAGAGGTCTGCTACTCTCTTCACAAGTTGCCTGGTAGGTTTATCTAAAATAATTGAAATAAATAGTTAGGGCAAATAAGTATAGTTCTATCGGCTAAGGACCAGTGTTGATTCAGATGCTGAACTTCACGTGAGCCAAACCAAATGCATAAATTTTAATAGTATATTTGACTGAAATGAACCTTTTTCCCTTTTTGAATTTAGTTAGGTTGGAATAAGGATTGGCGACTAAATTAATTTACCCAGCCTACAGTAAATTGATTTGGGTCAGCCTGAATTTTAAATCATTTCTGTTCATGTGAAGTACCATCTCGGAGCCAGGCCTTTCTGACCTCAACAATAATATTAGTAAACCTAAATTTCAACAAAAAAACTTCATCAGTCCTCTCACCATGACACAATACAACCAGATCGACATCCAAACGTTCATGAAGTAGTAACCCCTTAGCAAGAACTCCAACTCTCATTACACCTTTCAGAGCACCTACCAAAAAAAAAACAACAGTTGTTGTAAGCATATAATTATTTGGAGTGGGTCTCTTGAGAGGAGCTGAAGAGTGATTAGGTTTTAAGGTTAGTTCCTTAAGTATTATCTGTACTTTATGAACAATTTTGCTTCCCCTTCTGTCAGTTAGATACAAGAACTTACGCGGTGGTGAAGCAGTTTTACTGGGGTCTTTTTTCTCTTCTCCACCCTCTTTTTTGTCCTCACTGCCCTCTTCACCCTCTTTAACCTCCACTTTCACCTCCTCTTTGACTTCTTCTTTCTCTTCTTTCTTTGGTTGAGTGGATTGATCCTGCTCTGCTATCAGGTCAGACACAAGTTTTAATGCCTTCTCCGAAGCTGACACAATCTTCTGGACAGCTTGGAGTTCTTGTTCATTAGGATAAATACTTGAGTGCTTGGCCATTACGAGACGGTCATCTGGTGTATCGTATCTGGGGCGTGACATACCCTGTGGCTGTAAACATACACCAGTTTTAAATCCACATTCATTATTGTGACCAAACGGCTGCATCATTTGCATGCTGGACTGGTTCTCTACAGGCTTTTTAAGATTGAGTTATTTGCTAGTCTTTATTTCACCTTTCTTTTCCTAACCTTTAACTACTCCTTATAAGCAACACAGCTCAATCAAACAAAGAGAAAAAAGGAAATGATAAACAAGTGAAAAAGGTATTAATTGTTAGAAAAATTCTCCTCTTCAGTACAAAAGAAAAAGTATAGACAGTTTGTAGAATATGCATGCTGACATTAAGGTTCAAAAAATTTATCATATTAATGCAAGTGAGATTTAGATCACTCATACTCGCTCAAACCAAAGTCCTGAAGCATTATGCTAGCTGCTGTAAAATGGAGCCAGTTGTGTCACCTGGGCTTTTTGGGGTCAAACTGAATCTAACAAAGAGCTAATTGTATCTGGTGCTACATCAAGGGGACTTGTGCAAGCAAGTAACAAGTTCAGGTTTACTGCTGAGGAAAAGTGTAAACCTTGATAATATTCAAGAAGAAACTTTACCGGTCCCATGTCACCAACACCCTCCATGAGTGGGCGTGGCCCCAACAGGCCAGGGGGTCCCCTTGGTGGTCCCATCCGAGCAGGACCCCACCCTTCGAAGAACTCAGCCTCAAAACGCCGACGATTCTCCTCTTCCCAAAATCTCTCCTCTTCTGCTATTCTCCTGTAATATTCCTCTTCTTCCCAACGACGCAACTCTTCCTCCTGTCTTCCCCTAATGAAAAATTAAACAGTTGGAAATGAGGAGCTGCAGATGTTAACGGCTACAAAGACAAGAGACACCCTTTTTTTAACACTTATCAGCAGTGACCATCAACAACACACATATACTTTACTTTTTCCATTGCCAGTACTGTTCCTGTTCCCACTGTCGCCGTAACTTGTCTTCTTGTCCTTTGCTCAGGCGGCCTCGGCCACTTGGTTTGGAATCAACAACCAGATCAGGCTGAACTTTTTTCTACAAAACACATTATCAGCATCAGTATGATGTGGGAACAACATAATTTTTCAGTTCAGTCATAACAAAAATAAACACAAAAAAAGTTAACCCATGTAGTTAACTACATCTTTTTACTTGATCAATTCAATTGAACGAAATGCAACATTTACGCAACTTACAACTATGTATGAAAGAATAAAACGCACATCAAAACTTTGCCAATACAAGAGCCCATGAAAATGACCAGTCAGTAAGAATTGATATGAACAGTAAAAGACAGTTCACAAGACAGAGTCAATCCACATAAACAACACTTACTGCAAACACACAGTACATACAGTGCATATGGGAGCAAAATGCTCTTAACAGTGTTCATTCTTGCTGATTGACTAACCTTGTAAGACAAACGATGACGACGTCCAGCTAAATGTGCTTCTCTTGCATTAGGATCATTAAACTTACACTCACACAATTTGCAGTGGAAGCTAACAATCTTTCCTTCCTCATTTTTGATCTCTTCCAAATATTCAGACCCTACAGTAAGAGCAAGGCAGATGAGAAATCATCACAAAGTAGCACAAACATTTTGACACCAGCAGGTGCCAAAAGCCTGATGACCAAAATAGGAGCCAGTGTTCTGAAAGAAAATCTCCTTAGCACTAAATATGCCTTACTTCTAAACATTTTATCAGTAAACCACATAATCCCATGCAAACCACTGTGAAATTTAGTATCAGAATAACTTCAAAATGGCAAACTGTAAATGCCAAGTCACAAATATTTTAGAATAAGAGATTTTCTTGTACCTTTGCCATTATAAAGTATTTACCCATGTATAATGCAAACCCTAAATTTAGTCTGTTTTTTTACAAAAATGAGGACAAAACAAAGGAAAATAGCCACACAAAACTCTTTCTGCTTTGATTATTTGTTTTTGATTGTCATTCATGTCTCGAAGGTGTTTGTTTACGAGGGCTTCTGCTGTAATATTTTATTTTTCTATACCAATTCATCTTTTACCTTTGCCATCTCTATGGGTTAAACAGGAATGAAAACTCTTATCTTTCCTTATGCACAACATTAATGTCAATTAACTTTACCACTGCAGCACAAAGCAAGTCAGTGATTATAATTCCATACCAAATATCTTGCTTAACCTTGTGCTTACTTGATTTGTCACCACTGGCAGGTTCAGAGATACATACCAACAATCTTGCTCTTGTCCACACCAGTGTAATTTGCCAAGTCAAATTTCTCTACAAAATAATAAGAATGTCACTATTTTTACAAAAGGACTTGGTGTTTAGAGTACACTGCACATGTTCCATATAAAGTGGAAAAATATTTCTCTCAATAACAAGACTATTTTAATTTGCTCTTGCTGTCAAAGCTTGAGGAGCTAAAATAACTTCAACTACTTATATAAGTAATATCATGGCTGACAAATTACTCCTTAACTTTGGTGCGAAATTTCAGTGTTATTTATAATACCACATATGAAATTACCAAATTGCCATGGCAATGTTCCATACGTCTCTGTGCCAAGATGGTGTGGAAGTTTTAAAATGTTTACCAGAAGATATCAGGCTATTAAAAGTTGCTTTAGAAAATGTAAACAGACGAAGGAGCACATCAAGAAGGTTTCAAACTGGTATTCTGTCAAAAAATTACAAAACTCGTGAATGGAGCAAAAATTTTATGCTCTAAACTTTTTAGCACGTGGGGTTCTTGATATGATAACAAGCAAAAAATAATAATTGTGAGCAGATTGAGAGCATAATTTGTCACCTATAATATTAATGGGTAATAAAGGCTCCAGAAAGTGATAGGACTTGGACAAAACCCATGTGAAATAATTCTCTAATTTCACTCACCACCATTCGATTGCACACAGAAATTTCCTAACAAGTGTGTCAGAAAGATTTTTCAACTTTGAAAACCATACATGTATCCTACACTAACCTTCATCCATTTCCACATCATTGCCTGCAGCTGAACCAGAATTTGAACCACCAGAGGCAGCTCCAGGAGAGGCATCAGTCTTGACCAGTCCAGTAGAAGTTAGTTTTGTGCCACCTACGAAGGTGATTTTTGGGGCTGCCATCTTCTTGGGTGGTGGTTTTCGCTGTGGGCCTTTGTTACCAGGACCAGCTTTTTTGTCCCCATTTTCTTTGGAGCTATCTTTAGGTTCTGGTGGTTTCAGGGGTGCAGGTTCTGGGATTGGCTTTCCAAGCTTCTGATGAAGTTTTATCACCTACATGCATGATAAATCAATCATAATGAAACATTGGTTGTCGTTATAAAAGCAGGGCTTGAAATAGCGACTAATACAGTTGCCAATGCAACTAACATTTTCTCCTTGATGAATAAAAATTCTGGTTTTGTAGCCACTTTAGTAATCAGATTTCTCTACAATTTAGATTTAAATTAAGAGAGTAACAGTATCAGTATAAGAAAAGAAAAATAATGCAAACTGAAGAAAGTTTAGCAAGAAAGAGAAACACTTCAAAAGAAAAATGTTCCTTTCACAGTCAGATAGACTAAAGACACCGTATGTAAACGCAAAAAAAATGTACCAGGAGCACGGGGCTGGGGTATCTATTTATGGTAGAAATTGAGCACGCAAAACTCCTGAATCTAATTTTCCTGTAGTTTCACCACAACAACCATGGAAGGCTATCATGTCAAATTTTACAGGTTAAATATAGTTGAACCTGCATACAGTACCATTCAAAAGTAAGTTGACAGTCTGTTGCAAGTCTCGACTCGATTTACGATTCTCCATTCCTGCGTGAATTGGGAATCAAGACTCGAGAACAAGCTATTGGGAATCGAGTCAAGGATCAAGTCTCGCAGGACAGAAAACAAAAGATTCACCCATGATTGATTTCTCGATAATTTTACAAAGACATAAGCTGTAACACACCACGGCATGGTTACTTGTATATCCGCGATTCGCGCAAGCGACTGTATGCTCAAAACAAGACTAATTTTAGTTATAAAACAAATGTTTCTTCAAAGAAATCTGTATCAAGCTTCATTTCCTCAATAAAGTTTCAAATGCCTGCTCCATATGCAAACAAACAGTTCTTGTGTACAAGCAACAGCATGTTTATTTTGTAACGTCAAATGATTCTGTGCTTATCCAGCCGCTTGGCTTGAAGAAATATTGGCAAGTAAAATTCGAAAGCAACGAGAAGCGCCGCAAGACTTTGTTTACACACCGTCGTGTATTTGTCATTTATTTACAAAAGCTGCCTTTTACATGTATTTTGGATTTTACAGATAAAAGTGCATGAATTGCTTTTCAAGTTCAACATTCCCATTTACTATTAACGAAAATTTCTGCTATTTAAATGATGCAAAATATCGTTCGAATATTTTTAAGATTTTGATGCAAAGCGTCACCCGAGCTGTGCGAAAGAATGCAAATGTCAATTGCTACTGTATAATTTGCATAGTTTAGGAATTTCTCCGCAAATCAGACGCTGAGTAGAGTTTGTTATTTTATGGAAAGAAAAGATTTTTTTTTTCAATTGAGAGAAACTAGAAGATGCTCAAAACTTGAACAAAGGTGGTAGATTCTTGCAGCAACCGATTATCGAGAGTACATGTAGAGATGAGCAAATTACTCGAAACAACACCCTTTCAATTGATTATAAACAAAGACCGTTCCAGCTTGATGAGTCTCGCAGGAATCGAGAATCGAGTCTCGATTCTCAACTCGATTCTCAACTCGATTCTCGCGAGGATCGAGAATCGAGGGCCAACTTACTTTTGAACGGTACTGTAGAACAAGGAACCTGGAGACTGGGAAAATGTGTTCATTTTAATAGAGGTACATTGAAGTCCTTTTTCACTGTACTTCACTGAAAATGGGGTGAAGACCACTGATTATTACACTGAGGTATTTGCAATAAAGAAGGTCATTATATCAGCTTCCATCTTTACATTTGCACAGCTGAATAATACTTCTTGATCACCAAGCTTTCCAAGACATACTGAGAACATATAGCTCAACTTTCAAGATGACAGAATAACAGTTCTTGTGAGTCCGCTGTAAAATGTTCTGTCTAAGACAAATAATAGAATTCACCAGGGGCCCATAACCCGTAGCAAGTAACTGCCGTACTAGGCCTTTGTCACAACATTTTATCATTGCGGACCAGTTTGTTTGTAGATACAACTGTACTTTAAAGAACACCATTTCCCCAACAAAGCATGAAAGTTGCTTGCTTCGAGTTAAGGGCTCCTGAATTTGACTACCTGATTTACTAAGCACGTTTTTCAAGCGGCTTTTAGAAAAACTCCCTGACCTTCTTTCCAGATTTTATTTCTTTGTCAAGCCCGGTAAAACACATTTTTTCCTGGATACGAATTATCATCCATACCTTTTGATGTTTTGATCCCTTGAGATGGGCAGCATATGCATCAGTTCCCGTGCAAGTTACATCACACAGTTCACAGCGATAAGCATTTGATGGAAGCGATTCTTTCTCTTTCTGCTTTGCTGCCTGTTCTTTCTTTTTGTGTTTCTGTCCTTCCAAGTGTTCCCTGTAAGTCTAAATATAAAGATTTCAAAAGTCAATATATTATTGCGTTTATCAGATATAAACCAACTGGACAAAATTATAAACTGTATATATATGCATCCAACTTAGTGCACACACATATGACTTTTTGGTTGCCTTTTTATGTCTAAGAAAACTCAAAACTCACAGACTTCTAAAGCAAACTCCCTAGCACTTGCAAGCCAAGGGTGACTTGTGACATTATTAAGAAGTAATGACAAAACAAAAAAGCATCAATGCTATGGGGACCACATTTGAAGCCATGTACACTTTTACCGGTGCAATTTACAAGTTCAGTTTCCCCCTACACTCCTTTTGTGCTCTAGCCGCTTCCTGTGTGCTTTACAACAGAACAGAGCAGAGTCAAGGCTTTTTTATTTGTTAAGTAAAGCAAGCTAAAAAGATTAACCCATGTTCAGCACATGCAATACAACAAGCTATTTTGAAAACCAGTCATTTCGATACAAACTCAAGTAAAGAAACTGCACAACAATTTTCAAACACTGTAAGTAGAGTAGACTGTGAGCAGTTGTCCTTCTCTCCTTAAGGAAGCCTGCTGATCATAATCCCTTTTATTATGTCAATCATCAATGCTCCTCTCTCTCTTTTTAATTCACCTAGTATATTGTATTCCCAAACAAAGCAACCATGAACTTCCTAACAATATAAGACCAATTTCCCTGTTACCTGCATGATCAAAGGTTTGTGAGAGAGTAGCTTATAATCAGTGTGTCACCTATTTGACAGCCAAGGAAAGGTTCACCGCAAAACAAAGTGGCAACAAGAAATGGTTCTCTACTGAAACATCTTTAATTCATACAACTGATGCATTTCTCAAAGGAATTGATGATGAGAAATGAACTGCCTGCATACTTTTAGATATGAGTAAAGCCTTCGACAGCATTGACCACCAAATATTATTACGTAAAAATACAAAGCATTGGTGCCTTGACCAGCACACGAAAATGGTTTTTTAACAGCTACCTCACAAATAGATATCAAGTTGTACAAATTCATGGTGCTGTTTCTGATCCTCTGCCAGCTGAATGTGGTGTAACTGAAGGTAGTATTCTAGACCCCATATTATTTAGCATCTACGTAAATGATCTGCCAGAAGTTCCACTACATTACTCTACAGAATGTTATGAAGACGATACAAGAATATTATTTTGTTTCTTTCCATTTAAACAACTCCCAACGGATCGTCCAAGAAATAAATGAATAACTCCTGCAGGTGCACAACTGCTGCTTTGGAAATCAGCTATTACTGAATCCAGACAAGACAAAATTAACAGGTGACCTTGAAGCTCCATAAATTTCATTTGTTTTTGTTGGGAAAGCACATTTCCCCAGTGCAATCAGTGAAAGATCTCGGCATAATTTTGGATCTGAACTTAACATTTGATATCCATATAACGACCAAAGTGTCGGAAACGTATTGCATGCCTAGCGCAAATTAACCGTGTGAAACATTTCTTAGACAAAAACACGTTGTTAACGGTAATACATGCCTTAGTTTTCAGCAAAATGTAATACTGCTCCAATGTTTGGGCAAACATCACAAATTAGAATGTAACAAAATTGTAGACTGTCCAAAACTTTGCTTGCCCAATCGCCAGCAGTACAAAAAAATATGATCATGTAACACCCCTCTTAAAAAGCCTGTCTTAGTTGCCTGATAAGGACTATACTACCAAGCTATTATGGCCTTCAAATGCATGACCGGTCAAGCCTCTGAATATCTTACTTCCCAATTTATTACCCGTGAGCAAGTTAACAAACGAACAACTTGGAGTAGCCAAAAGCTAAACATCCCTATTTTCAGAACAGCCTCCAGACAGAGAACTTTTTATTGCAGGACTATTATTAAGCTTAGCAACAATTTAAAACCTTCTCTCCAATTAAGCCAATCTGCTCACATTTTTAAACATCTCTTAAGGAACCAGCTTTTAGATAATTTTGTAAATGCTTCTTAGTTTAAAAAGTATTGTAATAAGTAATTATTAGTTAAGCCTTTTAATTTGTACTAAGTTGAGTGTTGTAATTAGTTAAATGTAAAGCTTCTAAAAAATGATTGTTCCTGAAAAGCCCCTTGGGGAGTAAACAATAAAATAATTATGTTGTACATATTGCCACATGCAGGGAGTGAAAAAGTGAAATGGTGCAAACTAATCGTAAAAAGGTTTGGGGCGGAGAGAGGAAAAAGGATGACTGTAGAGGTTAACGGTTTTATTAGTCCTTGCTTTTGTGGAACCTGAAAATGTATTCTCGGTCGAAATATATCCTCTTTTCCCACTATAGAAATTTCAGCACTAGACAATGAAAGGTCAATGGCAAACTGTTTGCCTGGCCTATAATATTGCGAGGCTTCTTCATCCTTTCGCTTCCTTTCTCACCTGCTTTGAGAAACCCTCTTTTTTTCCCACGATTTTCAGAATTTATTACGCTACTATTTCTGCAATCCTTCAAAGATAACTGGAGAACTAATATCCCCAACCAAACAGCAATGAACAGACAATCGAAGACAAGCTGTTTGTTTGCAGGAAAAAGCACGCGAAATGGTGTCAATAGCCCACGTTCAATATATTAAAATTCTAAGTTGACTCTGAGGCTTTTGGGTCAAAACTGCAAATTTTTTAAGCCTCCATTGTCTGGCAATTCCCAGAAGAAATCTGAGCACAAATAACACCAAACCAAATAATATATAGAAAAATGACCAGAAAGCCTCGGAGTCATGTTAGAATTTTAATATATTGAACATGGGCTATTGTCAAAAAATGAAGGAGCTGTCAGTAACAACAAAGGCGTGAAAAGCAGCAAATCGCCAGATCAAAGATCCTATCGCAGTCTCTTTTTTCTTCGCTCACGCTTCCGCCATCGTTCCTCGCGGTTTCGCCACTCGCCCTGCACGCACGCTCTTGATCTCCGTGACTCAAAAGAAAATAAGACACTACTCGCAGTCTACAAGTATAGTGTCGTTTGGACCACAAAAACATATGGCGTGAATAGTCCTCGTTCGTGAAAGTCAACTACTGTACACAAAACTAGTTATACCATTTCTAAATCGTCATGTAGCGAAACGACTTGTACCTAAATAACTTTGTATCGAAACGACCGGTGATACAAGCTATTTTAGGACTAGCAGACTCATGAACAGATGTTCCGTTCAAGGTTTAGAATTTATTGAATGGAAAAGATAAGTTTACCTGAGGTCCAGCGCAGCTTATCTTGCAAACTTCACAGTAATGAAGTTGAGGCTGTTTAGGCGGCTGTTTAGGCTTCATCATTCCTGTTGGTTGCTTCTGTTGCCCTACACCTATCTTGTTTTTCCAGCCTTGTCTCGGAGGTTGATGTTGATGATGCTGTTGTTGAACAAAGGCTGCAGCGGCATTGTAAACAGCAGCTTCGTAAGCTTGCGGCTGATAACCACCCGTATTTCCAGCCGAAGAGCCACCATAATTTGACGTGTTGTACGAGCTTGTTTGCTCGTAAGCTGATGTCTGCGCACGAGCGCTGGAATACGGGTAGGCGACGGTCGAGGATTGCGAAGAATACGATTGTGACGGATGCGTTTTCGAAATGACTGGAGTGGCGCTTACAGATGTTGGGTAAACACTTGTTCCTGATGTCGGATAGGCCGCTTTAGCTGCTGCCGAGGCGTTTTGACCATAGTAAGCACCCTGGCCACCTTGAACATTCGAAGCAGGTTGTTGTGAATAATAAGACGCCTTCGTTTCATAAGCTTCTCTATCGTAGTACTGAGCAGAGCCGTGGTGCGTTTGATAAGCGGCGTGAGCCGCTTGATAAGAGGCATTTGCTGGTGGAGGCGGCGGTGGAGCGTCTTGCTGTCTCGCTGTGTAGCCATAAGCGCCTGCTTGAGCCGAAGATCCTTGTTGAGCGTAAGCTGTTGTGCCGGCTGAATAGGGAGCTTGTACAACTTGCCTCGGTGCCTGAGTTTGTTGCGGAACATAATGAGCCCCAGCAGGTGTAGAGGCTTGAACTCCGTATCCTGTAGTTGCCTGAGGTGTTCCGTAACTGGTTTGTATCGACGGATTTTGAGCTTGAGTAAAACCTTGAGAGTGCTGGCCTCCCGAAGTGTAACCGTAGTAGTTGCTCGCGGCCATGTCGGCAGAAAGAGAAAGAAGGCACGTGTTCAAGACGTCAAGCCGACAGCTCAGCGTCGGCGAGGGACTAAACTCTAGCATAAAAACGAGGCTAAATCCTCAGGTGGGAAAAATGGAATTTGAACAATTTTTATTAAAATAAAAAACGATAGCTTCCTTTATGAATTTTGAAAAATTCTTGGTAGAAAGAAGTAACGGCTCGATCTTAAAGATGAATGAAAATTTTTCTACTGAATGTCATACTACTTGACATAAAAATTTCTAACAAATATAGGCTTGAATTTTTACTTGGCTCAATGTCAAGAATGTAACATTACTTTGGGTTTTTAAATTAATTTTATGTAGAAGAATCAAGTTCTTTTGCTCTCTTTTTGTGTCCTTGTTGTACAGCCTTGCATGCCGCTTACAACGGAGACAACTTCCGGTTGCGGCATGCAGTCGAGGATAAAAGACAAAAGACATTCAAAATTTTACGTCAAATAAATAGCCGGGAATTGTGGCGCACGCCTGTAATCCAGCTACCTGGAGACTTGGGGTCTCTGAACGGCTTGAAGGTGGGATTTCTGGGAGCTGGTGTCCTATGCTGATTGGGTTTCCAAGCTAAGTTTGGAGTCAACATAGGGAACACGGGGGAGTCCGAGTTCTTCAGGTTGGTTAAAGAGAAGCGAACCGGCCAAGGGTCGAAACACAGCAGGCAAAAACTCCCGCGTCAAACAGTAGTTGACAGCACCTGTGAATAGGCGGTCGTTCTCAGCCCGTTCGATAAAGTCGAACTCGGCCTTTTCTTTCCTTTCGGAAAGAATCCAAAATTTTTCGCCGATTTCATGTTGCTCTATTACTTTTGTTTTATTACTTTTGTACCCGTTTATTTTTTTTAAAACTTTATTATTTATTTTAACAAGTGGCCCAACTACATGTATAACTGCATACTGCAAGCAAAAGCGACAAGCGCATGCGCGAAAACACTGTGTTGGGAATGGTCCGTACGAAAGTTGTGAAAAGCAAGAGACAATGGCCCACAAGCAAGCTCTCAATTAAGGGGTCAAGCGAAAGTGGAACGCGTACAGAGACGCGAATGTGAGGGGCGGCGTTCACTCGTACGTTCTCTCGCAGCTCTCTTCGCTCACCATTATTGGAGGGCTTCCTCGCAGGGTAAAGAGACAATGCGAAACAGCACATTCCATGGTCTTCTTAGCGTATTCCAGGCATTCAGATAGCAGAACACGGCGTTCAGATTGTGGAGAGTTAGTTAAAACGTACCCGGGGAAAACGACGGGAAAAAACGACTGGAGACTGGGCTTATCAATTTTTCGCCCGCGCCTGAGAACCGCGCCTACGAACGCCTGGAACAGGCGGCTATGGTCTTCTGTCCTTTCATAACAAGGATTACCATGCTAAGTCGATCGTAGTTCTCCACGACTGTTACAGCAGGGGTCGGAATAGTCCCTTTAAGCAGGCTACTGGTGTTCAACAAATCAAAAGTTTATCGAATACTTACTATGAGAGTAAGCTAAGTTACTTTTGGTTGCTCTAGATACACTCAGGGGCAGCGCGCAAATATTGCGCATACCCTTTCTTCGTTTTCTAAACATCTTTTTTTAATTTCTTGTCCAAGTTTAGTGGGTGTTAAGGGAGTTAGATAGATGGAGGTAGGTAGACCAGGGTAGGTTGATGTTTACTTGTGAACTGTAAGTCATAGAAGTAATGAATACTGCAGTACAGGACAATTGATTAGTTGTTACTTTACCCTTAAGTAACATCACCCTGAGAGTTATAAAATTTGCTTAAGTGTAGATCACATTGATATCGATTGTTCTGTAATGAAGGGTTTCCTGTACGATATGTCATTAAGATATTATTTCACCACACTCAATGAACACATTAGGTGATCCTGTATTAAGCAGCTACCAATTAACGCTTTGATAAGGAGGTGATTCTATGTAAGTCTAACTCAGAGAGAAATAATTAAGTTCTATTTCGTAGGGGAAAGCACCGTAACTCAAGAGAAACACAACCATTTTCTAATGGACCGGACGCTTGTACAACCACAGAAAGAGAAACACACACAAGAAAACAACTTCAACACAATTTATTCAGCGCAGGTAACGATTCCTGCCTCGTATTTCATCGGTGACGCCATTCAAACAAAAGCTATCGAGTATAACTTCCTTATGTAGTAATGTTTGTTTTAATTTACAAAAGGGAATTCTTCGTTCTTTGTCGTGTTTTGGATTTCACAGGGACACTTGAAGGAGGAGTCAATGCCATACACCAAACAGCTTTTTCTTATAATTAATACTGGAGTCACTAAGTTTCTTTTTGACGGTTCGGCGTGTCTTTTTCAATTCTGATGCGCTCTCATCCGTTTGACTGTCAATATCACTGCCGCTAGATCGACAGAGATTGACCAACACACGTGTCGGAAAGTCAGGCGGACTCATTTTGCGCCTTCGCGCTCGTATTTCACGAATTAAATCACAAAAGGATTTATCCACGCCGTCATAATCAGCCGCAGACGTTTCACCAAATAACCATTCGTATCGATTGGCTAAAGTCTGTCCTTCGCTTTTCGCCACGGTGCGGTGTTCTTCCAAGTCAGTTTTGTTTCCGATCAGCAGAAAGGGCACTGGTTCCTGATCGGCCCGGTCTCGTGACTCTTCGATCATCTCCTTGTAGCGTGGAACTGTGATGTAGCTCTTTCTATCCGCTATTGAATATATCACGATAAAACCGTCTCCCGTGCTCAGGAAATTTTCCCTCAGTTTAGATGTTGAATTCTGAAAGCGGAAAGAAAAAACTTGTAAAAAACGTAGCAGTAAAATGATGCCACCATGCAAATGGCCTGTTGTCCACATGTAAGTACGCTAATAGGATTTGTCAGCGCTAAAATGACTGATGACTGGTTTGAGGCAATGGATCAAGGCTTATACACTGGTGCGATATTTTTAGATCTACGCAAAGCCTTCAATGTTGTAAATCTTGACCTGCTAGTAACCAAACTACAAATATATGGTTGCTCCTCGTCAGCCTTACTGTGGCTCAAGAGCTACTTGTCAGACCGTCGACAGTGTTCCAACATTAAAGGAACCTTATCTGATACTGAAGTATTGAGATCTGCAGTTCCTCAGGGCTCAGTTTTGGGTCCTGTCCTCTTCCTTCTATTTATCAACGACCTTCCGGTTTTACGGTCACTTCGCTCCATGCTCAGATCGCTTCCAAGTCAGATTGTTCCATTTCATGGTCGAATCGTTCCATAGTTATAGTGTAAAACTCGACGCGAAGCGCGCTTTTTTTGGCTTCTGGCTTAAAGAACGAGGTATACACAGGAGTAGCGCCCTTGTTTTTGCTCGTGGCTTAAAGACTCGTCAAAGGTTCTGACTATATTGTGGAACGATATGACTATTAAGTGGAATGATCTGGCTTGGAACGATCTGACCATGGAACGAAGTGACCGGATACCTTTACAACTACTAGCAGAATTCATTTCGTTTTTCCTTTCATATGTAATGTGTAAAACAAGAAAGCAACACCCTGAAGGATTGTGGTTGTAGTAGTCCGCCAAAGACGTCATGTGCAAATCGCCTATTCGAAATGGCTCGCAAAAGAATACGCGATAAGCGTGGACGGAAAATTAAACATGCGTGTGGACAAAGCTTAAATCCACGTAACCCTTTAAACCCTAACTAACTAATTCTCATTAGTTATCCCTATTACGTTTTCAATAGAAGTATCGGGGGAGAATTTGTTGAAGTATCAATTAGATTCATCTTGTGTGATCATGTCCTTAATTCTCATGACCACTCTGTTTTACAAAGCAGTGATATTACAAGGAGAAATTTGATGCTGATCACTCTTAGGGCTTAAAGGGCTAAAACCTGGTAAAGGTCACGACGACCTCTGCGTGTTAACTTACTCTACAAGCTGTGTCTAGGACGTCAATAGTGACTTCCTCGCCATCTACTATCACTGTACGGCGATAGCAATCCTCTAGAAAGAACCGAAAAAAAGGAATAAACGAATGGAAGATATATCATTTCAAAGTCTTATCTGTGGTATGATTTACACTCGGCTGGAATATCAACATTCCAATTTATTCGTTAACTGTTGTCTGCCCTCTCTCGGGCTGTCATAAAACACTGTAAATTTCAGTAACACTGGGCTTGTATGCTCTACCTGACGCTCGTACTGAGCACTGAGCATAACATTTTTGGCGATTTTTTTTTTCAGAATAGACGAAACATTAAAACTCGAAAAAGTTCAAAAGTGTTCAAAATTCAACCCAAAAAGGAGATAAAGGACATAACCAGGCGCAAAACAACAAAAACAACGACTAATCCTAAACAACGATATCTGCTATTGCTGAGTTTACGCAACAGGACGCCGGCAAAAACAAGAGGACAGCAAAACGCTTGTGTGTGACAAACGTGACAGGGCTATTATTTGCACGTAGATATATAATTTGCAGTCTGTCTACTTTGAATTGTCGTAATCTTCACTAAATAACAATGTTTGTTGGTCTTTTACAAAAAGATCTGTTTTTAAGGAAGATGAAGTTTGAGGCAATTTTTTTTAAACAAAATTATTGTCACGCTTGTCACACAAGGTTTGCCAGTCTTCAATGCTCTCTCGTCCTGTTGCGTAAGTTTACTATTATTGACAGAGTAAGGCACTTGGAGTGAATTTCCACCGTCGCGTAATCTTTTACGTGCGTAAATGAATAAAAGGCATTGTGGCGAGCGGTGGCGTGAATACGTTGAAGTTGAACCTCGCTCAAATAAGTTGATCCTCACTCAATTTTTACGTTTACGGGCGACCTTTCATACATTCACTAAAATTGCCTCCATCTTATCAACGCTTGTAAAAAATTGCTTGTAAACGATAGAATTGCACGTTTTGATGTAGGATGAACTTTATGCGCATGCTTCAAAAACAGGCGCCTGCGATATTTTAGGTCATTGTTTTAATTTTGATGCCTTTTGACCGTTTTTCCAGTTGACCATTGGGGGGAAGGTGGGGGGGGGTTGTTGGGACGGTACTCCGGATTTAAAGTGACGGGGATGATCGAAGGATTTTTCTGGGTTTGAAATTTTCGATTCCGGGATTTTTTGAGGTAGGAAAATTTGGCAGGTATTTTTTTGGTGGCTTGATTTAAGAGGGGATTTTTTGGGTATTCAACACAATCTGAAGATTGGTGGTAGTACCCGCATATCCCGGCCACTTAGTCCTGCGAATAAAGTACGCCCTAACTTTTTCAACTTTATGTGAATTTTTAAGGCTCGGAAATTCGGCATGGTATTTTTTGGGGGTTATTTTTTGGTCCATTTGGGTTTTGTTGGAAGCCCTAGGGGTTTTTTGGGGATTTGACAGGAGCCCATAGGCTCCTGGTTTATATTTTTGCCTCCATTCGATCATCCACGTCTCGAGAAATCCGGAGTACCCCCCTCGGATGTCTAAGTAGGTAAAGGACAAACAGATTGTGAAAAGATAACGCAATACTAACCAATTGTTGGGTCATATTCTCCAATAAAACGGTGACAAAGAAAACGAACCAGCAACGCTGCAAGAAATAAAACCACTATTGTTAAGGGTTGTATCGTGATAATTTTTTTTTGCGCTGTGCTAAGATTAGAAGTACGCACGTATACCTTTCTAAAGAGGTCATACTCTCCGAACATCAGGCCCCAGTTGTTCAAAAGGTGGATAACGTTATCCACCGGATAAATCACTATCCACTGGATGGCGCAATTGGTTTCCCTAACACTTATCCGTTGGATAGTGATTTAACTGGTGGATAGCACTATCCAGCTTTTGACCAACTGGGGCCAGAAGAGTATCATTACACTTTATTGAGACAACAGATCCTGTTTTACCATTCTAGTTAAAAACGTTTTCCCTAAATTTTGACATCTGCCTGCGTATAGTGCAAGACTCTTTCGCACATGTTACGGTTTTATTTGAGAAAAATACTGTTGTTCCTGCAGCCTGTGAAGGACTGAAGCACTCAACTCATTACAAGGAATCAAAAACTGATTTGGAATTCTAGGAATATTTACTTACAGAGGACTCGTTGGATTTAATTTAAATCCGTTGAACTTCTGGTCAATGGTAAGCTTATACTCGAGCAGGGCCCGCAACTTTAGAAAAATCGTCCATGCAACAGTGCCGATATAACCTCCTGAAAGCAGAGCTTATTGCGAACTCTAAGCTTTTCTTTTCGTTGAGGCTAGCGTGTACATTACATAACTTTCACTACACCACAGATTTGTGGAAAGCCCTGACAAAGATTGTGGTGTTTTTGGCCAGCGGCCAATACACTTTGAGCATGCGCACTTATGCGCCATTCCGGAACGTAGTCCGTTCGAATCAAAGACATGACAGTGGCGACGAGGTAAAATTCAAGTAATTATGACCACTATTGGGAAGATAGAGAGTTTTGATGACACAAAAGAGAACTGGGAAACCTATGTGGAACGAGTAGAACAGTTTTTCTTGGCGAACGACATTGATGATGACCATAAAGTGCCAACTTTGTTGAGCTTGATCGGCGGGAAAACCTACACTCTGCTGAGGGATCTTCTTGCACCGGAGAAGCCAGCTACAAAGTCCTTTCAACAGATAGTTACCACTCTCCAGGAGCATTTGAACCCAAAGCCCTTGGAAATTGCGGAAAGATTTCGTTTCTACAAGAGAAACCAACATGAAGGAGAAAGCATTTTGTCTTACGTGGCCGAACTAAGGAAGCTTGCGACCCACTGCAATTTTGGCGGGAATCTGAACGAAGCGCTACGAGATAGACTGGTCTGTGGACTTCGAAATATGCAGATCCAAAGGCGATTACTGTCAGAAGCCAAACTGAAGTATTCCAAAGCTGTGGAGATTGCTGTAGCAATGGAAACTGCCATCCGCGATGCTTCAGAATTACAAAGTGAGCTCAACCCCAACCCAGTCCCTCACGTTGACAAGTTGACTGAACACAACAAACCAACCCCAGCGAAACCGGCGACCACCCCCCCTTGCTACCGCTGTGGTGGGAACACACATATGACACACAATTGTTTTTACAAGGACCAGATCTGCCACCACTGTGGAAAACAGGGCCATATCCAGCGAGTTTGTCGTTCCAAACAGCAAGGCAAGCCTAAGCAAGCAACCAAAACCCCAGAGGTACATGCTGTTGAGGTTGATGTTAATGTTGATGCATATGAAGACATATTAGCCACCTTCGAGGTACACAATGTGCGGAAACAGAGCAATGATATTATCTGGGTTGATTTGGATGTTGATGGTAAACCACTTAAGATGGAACTGGACACAGGTTCGGCTGTGTCTATCATCTCATTTGACCTCTACCAGCAGAAATTTAACAGGCTTCCCCTGCACAAAACTGGACTGTCCTTGAAAACCTACACCGGGGAAAACATTATGCCAGTAGGAGTGCTCAAAGTACCCGTGGATTACCAAAACCAAAGAGAGGTGCTGGACCTGTATGTCGTCAAGAATAAGGGTCCTGTTCTAATGGGAAGAGATTGGCTACGTACCATACACCTTGACTGGTGTTCTATCAAGTCGCTGCAGGCTTCACTAGCTACCTCAAGTCCTAAAGAGCGTTTGGACGTTATGCTAGACAAGTTCTCTGATGTTTTTGAAAATAAACTGGGCACCTTTACATCAGCCAAAGCGAAGTTAACTCTTAAAGACGACAGCCAAGCACGCTTTCTCAAGGCCAGACCGATGCCGTATGCATTAAAGCCGAAGGTGGAGGAGGAACTGCGGAGACTCCAGAATGAAGGCATTCTCACTAAAGTGGAGTGGAGTGAATGGGCCACACCGATTGTGCCTGTCCCCAAGAAAGATGGTTCCGTCAGACTTTGTGGTGATTACAAGATCACAGTGAATCCAGAACTACAAGCAGAGCAGTACCCTCTTCCTCGCATTGAAGACATCTTTGCAAACCTTGCTGGTGGGCAGAAATTCTCAAAGATCGACCTCCGCCAAGCATATCACCAAATAGAGATGGAAGACGATTCAAAGAAATACCTCACAATCAACACCCATATGGGACTGTTCCAGTACAACCGACTAGTGTTTGGTATCACCTCTGCACCTGCTATCTGGCAGCGCACCATTGATCAAGTGTTAGAAGGGACGTCTGGAACAAGCTGTATCCTTGATGATATGATCATCACTGGAAAGAATGATGATGAGCACCTTGCCAACCTAGAAGAAGTTTTACGTCGCTTACAGGCTCATGGTTTAAGAGCAAACAAGACAAAGTGCGAGTTTTTCAAAGAGAAGATAACCTTCTGTGGACATGATATTGACAGTCATGGTCTCCACAAGTCACCAGAGAAAGTGGAAGCAGTTTTGAAAGCGCCTCGCCCAAGCAATGTAGCTGAACTGAGGTCGTTCCTGGGGTTAGTTAATTACTACAACAGATTCTTACCCAATCTGTCCACAGTGGTACACCCTTTGAACCAGTTGTTAGAGAACAACCATCAATGGAAATGGACGGAACAATGCGAAACCGCATTCTACAACGTGAAAGAAATGATCACCTCAGAGCAAGTATTAACACACTATGATCCCAGTCTGCCACTGAGGCTTGCTTGTGATGCATCCCCTGTGGGAATTGGTGCCGTGCTATCCCACGTGATGAATGATGGGACTGAGCGACCCATTGCTTTTGCTTCCAGGACACTAACAAAAACTGAGCAAGGGTACGCGCAAATTGACAAAGAAGCTTTGGCAATAATCTGGGGAGTCAAGAAATTCCATGTGTATTTGTTTGGCCGATCTTTCACCCTGTATACTGATCATCAGCCGTTAACATCCATCTTCCACCCACACAAGAGCATTCCAGTGGTTACGGCAGCCCGGCTTCAGCGCTATGCATTATTCTTGGCAGGATATGACTACCAAATCGAGTACAAGAACACTAAAGTGCATAGCAATGCAGATGGCCTTTCCCGGCTGCCACTTAAAACCGAAGAGAGAGCAGAAGAAGTTGTGGATCCAGTAAATGTTTTCAATATGATGCAGTTTGAGCCGTTACCCATCACAGTTGACAATGTCCGAAGAGAAACCCAAAGGGACCCTGTCTTGAGTCAAGTCCATGAGATGGTGACTAAAGGATGGCTAAGCAGCCATGTTCCTGTACTGGACCCCTTCTACGCTCGCAGGGATGAGATAACAGTACACTCAGGCTGTTTGATGTGGGGAATCAGAGTCATAGTACCTCCAAAACTTCGTCCACAAGTGCTTGAAGAACTCCATCAAGGACATCTTGGAGTGGTGAAGATGAAGGCCCTAGCGCGAAGCTACATCTGGTGGCCAGGGATCGACAAGGAAATTGAGGAAACCGCGAAGACTTGCTCGGGTTGCCAGCTAATGCAGGCTGAACCTAGTACCGCACCTGTACATCCTTGGGAATGGCCATCGTCACCCTGGCAGCGAATCCATATTGATTTTGCCGGACCTTTCCTCGGCTGCATGTTTTTAATTGTCGTGGATGCCCATTCTAGATGGTTGGAAATAGAGAAAATGGACACCACGACCTCAACCAAAACCATCGAGAAACTGCAAAGCTTATTTGCTAGATATGGTGTGCCATCCCAGTTAGTGAGTGACAATGGGCCACAGTTCAAATCTGAAGAGTTTCAGATGTTCCTCAAGAGAAATGGAATCAAACATCTGACATCTGCTCCATACCACCCTGCCACCAATGGTCTAGCCGAACGCTGTGTGCAGAGTTTCAAATCAGCCATGAAAAGTGAAACGGAAGTAAAACCTCTGAGCATTAAGCTGGCAACGTTCTTGCTAGCTTACAGAAATACCCCCCATTCAACCACTGGAGAAGCGCCATCTCAGCTATTTTTGGGAAGACGATTACGCACTCGACTGGACTTGCTGAAACCAGATCTCCGCTTGAAGATAAGCAACCGTCAGATAGACCAAACCGTCACGAAGGGTGGTGCTGTAACCAGAGAATTCTCCATCGGTCAGACAGTGATAGCACGAAATTACACTGGTAGTACAAAGTGGGTACCTGGCATCATCCGCACACAACTTGGCCCCCTTTCTTACGAAGTAGAAGTCAAACCTGGCTTAGTGTGGCGTCGACACACAGACCAACTGAGGGATACCAGCATTCCAGTAACACCAAGCAGCAACCCTGTTACCCAGACCTCAGATCTTCCAATCCAGGTTGAGAGTCGTGAGGACCCAGTGTCTGTAGCCAGTGAGCAGCCAGCAGCCAGCGAAATGGAGACTGATGTTCTGCCACCAAGTCCAGTGGCTGACCCTGCAGCCAGCAGTCCACCAAATTTGAGTGAACCTGTTCCTGTTAGACGATACCCGGTCCGAGTGCGGAAGCCCCCAGCTAGGCTGGATTTATGAACTTTGAAGTGACATTAAGACTGTGCTTATTTCAATAGGCGTGTTGTGTTTGACTTAACGTTTTAGTTCCTTATTAGTTACCATATTGCATGCACTAGCTAGTGGGGAGGAGTTGTGGTGTTTTTGGCCAGCGGCCAATACACTTTGAGCATGCGCACTTATGCGCCATTCCGGAACGTAGTCCGTTCGAATCAAAGACATGACAAAGATGCTTTGTTTTGTGAATGTTCTAGTATACGCATATATTAAATTTTCAATCCTTCCTTCTTCTTTTCTAATTATCAGCCAAAGGTGAGTGAAGAAAATTTAAGGGCGTATCTTTTGCATCTTGTTTAGGCGGAAATTTATTTATAGGTGACCCTAATCAGTAAAATGTAACTTTGCCGAACAATGACAACATCCGATGACTCGATGTCCTTGTTAAGGTCAGTTTTCAGGAATGTGAGAAAAATATCTTTGTTCTCGCGAGAAATGGTGGTTAATAGGAAGGAACGCAAGAGTTGTCGTAGACAAATTACATTATCTGGAGCGGCTGCCTTTATACTGAAAAGCCGAGACTGTTTAACAGTCTATATCAAAGGTTCCGGAGCACACCGACAATAAACAAACTGAAAAACAAACGGAAACAAAAAACGTTACATTGAGCCATCGTTGATGCGCATTAGAAAACTGAAGATGGTAGAGTAAGCAAACGGAACTAATTTACCCTATTTGAATTAGGACACTAAGGATTTCCTCTCAAAAGCAGGTGCAACGCTATGAAGCTAGTATGTTGTAGTACATTTTGAGCAAATGGCTGCGGCTGAATGCGTCGTTTTTCGTGCGTGTAAAGCACTTTAAAAAAAGAACTGACTAGAGTAGCACAATAATCATTATCTGAAATTTCTTCCATATCATTGCGTAATTCTTCAATGATGTTACACATTGAAATACATGCCCAAATACCTCTATTATATTTCCGCAAAAAAGTGAATAGCTAGGGCGCTATTTCAGTTTTCCTTATTTTCTTCTCACATTATTACTTTGCGGTAGAAAGGTCAGGACGTGACTTAAAGAAACTTGATTAGCTATAAATAAAACCACATCAAACAAAAATAAACCTTTAAAGGTTATCGCCTGATAGATAGCAAGATAAATGCAATCATCAAAACTTGTGCGGATATTCACAAAGTACTTGATTATTGTTTGATGGTGTTTGCTATACAAGACGCCGCCTAATCAATGTGACCCCTTTGTGCTATGAGTTGTCTCTTTCTTTTTTTTTGGATTGTTTCCAAAACCATGCATCGCAGACTATATGCGGGGCCAATTTCGAATGATCAATGGTGGTGAAGCTAACCTTAGTCCGCCATCGACAGACACTGGACAAAGGCGCTAGAATTGCTACCTTTAATAAAAACGTCCCTCGTTTCTGACTGAATGTTAAATGGCCACTGGCGTAAACTTTTGAAAGTTTTCAAATTGCGCCAAGGCTCGTTTAATTTTAAGAACTTTTACGACATCACTCGTGTGCCCGGGAGGAGGGATGAAGAAATGCAATCAAGTTCAAACCATTTTCTGTACTTATATAGTCTAACTCAAAAGCAAGCCACGGAGTGGGATGCTATACCGTGGGGTTGCTTATTTTCTTATAAAAGGGAGTTCTGACTTCAAAAGTTCATCAGTGTTCTTCCCTCCAAGCACCGTTTATTTTTACGCCCCATAAAAAAGCGAACGTCTGTGTTTTCAGTTGTTTCCACTTATGTCTGGGAGCCTCTCAGTTTCACTTTTGGATGCTTATCCATTTGCATGCACAGAACACAAAAACCCAATACAGCGACAAGTATCTGTTTTCAAATGAGATGACGTGTGCCTTTTAGCTTAGTGGAGCTAGACTTCAAATTCATATATTAAGAAAAAGTGTGGTAGGTAAAAGGAATTCGCCAAAGCAGGCCGTGTTGAAGAAAAACAGCAACCTTTTTTCCGGCCTCATTTCACTCTATTAAGTAGACACTTATGTTACAGTAACTTAACCTCCAAACACGAAGCCCTTTGGACATCTAGCACAGCTATGCATTATGGAACAAGACTGAATCGAAATCTATACTGTCTCGCCTAACCGCGGAAAACGGTTCCTATTATCAGCCATTTTGACATGGACGAGTTTCGGGATGCAGAAAATGAAGCAAGACTCCAGATCCGCCGTACTTTGCAGCCTTCATAAAATATAAGCAAAACCGTTTGTCTGATACATTCAACGATTGACATTTTCGCTTTCAACGTTTTCAAATCTCATCATTCAACGGTTATAATTCAAGTTTCTGACTGTGGAGTAAGCGGTGAATTGTGACCTTAAGATAAAGAATCCCAAATTGAGCAGTCTGTTTCTGTGGCTGGTTATTCTATAGCCCTTATTTCGCAAAATTACACCAATTGCTTAAACCAGGATGTCTTTCAAATTGATTAGGGAATAAAAAAGTTTCATGACCTTGTTGACTTACCTGTTTTCCCTACTCCTTCGTTTCCTAAGAGGGCGATTTTGTAAACTCTCTCCGACATGACTAGAATCTCCGTCAAGATCCAGGTTGAATTCCTCACGCGAACAAAGGTGAATGAGTACTACACTTTCTTGGCAGACACGTAAACAGTAATCCAATAAAAGTCCCTTAACTTGTATCACTTACTCTACACTGAAAAACGTCCTTTGTGCAAAAGCTGCAAAAAGAGGATAAAGGCTATTAAATCTTTCAAAATATTTTCTTTGTTAGTCGATTCCGGTGAAGATACTAAGCAATTGACACGATTATAACGAAACACAAATGCCTATTGCTGATCTAGCAGGTCAATTTAATTAAGCGTTGAGTGGCAAAGAATGACCATAGATATCTCAGATAGTTGCGATGCCGGAATGCTCCGGGCAAAATGTGTTTGACAGGTTTATTTCGATTCTGCTTTGGTATTACGCCGCGATAACTGAAATTCGGCTGTGTATTACAGCGCCACTAAATTCTGTATATTTAACTCGACCGTACCAGAACAATGAAAAATACTTCTCTTTTACGAAGGGCGCGCCTAGAAGAGGGTATAACGGAATAAGAAGAAATATAATTACCTCTAAAAGTGACTTCAAGTAGACAGAAGCAAGACAGAAATTTAAACCAAAGGCAAACATGATGCCACGATGTAACTTGATGAAAATATGCGTTACTAAGTAGCCCATGAATAATCCAAAGTACTTATCTTAGGATTTTTAGTGACGATTTCTGTGTACTGTATTCAAGTTCCCTAACAGCACCCGCCCTAATCTACCTTGATCTATCTCAACCTACTTTATCTTTCCGTTAATGAATAAGAATGATGTAGAAGGGAAAGAGAAATCAAAGCATTCTAGTGCCAAACTAATCACCCTTTCAGGCTTGCAGCAAATTAAGAAATAGAACAAGGCTCAAAATACATTATTCATTCCACTTAACCATCAAAGACGATTCCCGGATATTGACATATTTTCCAGCCGTCATCGGTGCAAGCCGTGTGGCACGAATTTTTTGCGGGCTTAGTGGGATAAAAACTCACCAGAGAAAAACCAGAAAACAGTTAACTCTTAGGGAACTGGTATATACTTGAGCCTTGCGTCACCGGGCGGCTATTAAACACTAGTTGTATATTAATTTTGTGCTATCACATGATTTTTTTCAATTTCAGCACATCTCACGGACCAACTGGATTGTCTACAGTGACAAAATAACCGCTAATAACCGTAAACAGAAGAACACAAAACAATTACGACTGAAACGCGAAACCGGGAGAAGGCGATGGGTAAAGATAAAAAAGAATTAAGCGCCCCCACACTTTTCAAGTTTACCTCAGTTAGCACGAAAGTCCTCCTGTCATGGGTCACTGACAGGAGTAGTCTCCCCGGGGGGGACTACCATATAAAAGGGGCGGGGATGCTCGTCGTTTCGATTACGGGTGTAAATTTTGGATTTTGGTCTCACTTAGGGTATCTGGGCAAAACGCCATTATATTTAGCCGTAAAGGTCTCTTAGGGTTGTAAGTTAAGAAATATAAAAAACTACATATTTCAATTCGCTATATTTACTCCATTCATATAATCAAATTTTAAAAAGGTCTCTTTTAGGGGTAAAAAAAAGGTTGGGCCACGCCCAGATTGGTCTCCTTTAGGGGTTTAATTCAAAATTTCCGACGAGCATCCCCGCCCCTTTCATATGGGAGTCTCCCCGGGAAAGCCTCTTCCAGACGTTGAAATTGTTGGGGACAGCGCAAAAAGATGTGAACAGGAAAATAACATAAAGGGGTGGGGTGGGGGGCGGTTAATAAGTCTCTTACCTTTATACAACATGAAAATTTCAATTCACGTGATAAATCGCTCACTTGGAAGACTGTGAAATTCCTCCTTTTGCGCGATCTTGTTCGGTCTCGGTATCTTCTTCTAGGATGCCGTTATGAGTAAGTTTCAGGATGTCGTAAATGTCTAAAGCTTCCCCTGAAGAATGATAATTACCATTGGTAACAATAGGAAACAGACAAAAACGGTATTCAATCGAAAGGCAAAAGCCAGTGGTCCAGAGCAATTTAGTTAGGCTTTTTGACTGGTTAAAAATATCGCGCTACTTTCTCCAAAAATCAGACTGGTCGAGTGCTAACAGGCCCATTTTGGTTCTAAAGATTGATTACGCTATTTAACGCATACACGGGAGCGGGGAGAGGGGAATAGTTACCTGGCCCCAGTGGTTCTTAAGGGGATAACGCTATCCACTTGATAAATCCCTATCCTGCAGATAACGCAATCGGTTTTGCTAGTACTTATCCACTGGATGGTGATTTATCCAGTGGATACGACCGTTCATTTTTTGAGAAACTGGGGCCTGAACAGCGCCGTTCTCTGGCAGCGCTCGGTGGCTTCTGAGTGAAATATGGGATCTTGTGGTCATATGCTGGGCAATCCTGTATTACACAGGTTCAGGGGGCTGGGCTCTCTTCAATTTTACTTGGAGCACAAATAACTTTGTTGAAGGGCCTTATAATCTATTGCCTTTTACCGCATAGGCTCCTGACCCGAACCAATAGTGACTTACATACACGCACTTTTCCGCGCCTCGCGCGCACTTTTGCTCAATATCTAATAAAAAGTCGAAGCTGTCCAAAACAGCACATGAATAGGCCTGAAATATCACAGCAAGAGGAAATGAACAGTTCGGGAAGTAATATCATAGTAGGATAGGATAAGAAATAACATTGTTTAATAATAACATCGGTACGGTACCAACAACACTGTATAACAATAAAAACGTTTTTCATACCTGGTGATATTCCATGTCCCTTGTGGAGTCCCAGAGGATTTGACGGGGTTTTGCAATCCAGGTTCACTTCTTTACGAAGCACAGTATCAATGTCAACAGCACTAAAGAATGCGACTGACTGAAACAAAACGAAACAAGAAGACGCTGAATCTAATTAAAAGGTCCCTTAGTACCTTACTAACTCTTGCAGCCAACAGAAAAGCGTCTTAACTCTCTTTTTAGGAGGTAAAGGGAGGATTCGATATCGATCTTTTAAACATGTTCACCTTGAGTTTACGTTCGAAACTTAATTAACATTCCATTGAAAAGGAAGTTACTTATTTAACGGATGTTTCGTCTGGTGTTGTTTGTTTCTCGATATTTCGTTTAAAGTGACCTTTAATTATTCTCTTAGTTTTTACGACGACCACCTAGGGAAGTGAAACAGTTAAATCGCAATGAAGCGACCATGAAAATGCGTCATTGTTACAAGGCAACATGACCCGGAACTCAAAATAACCGCAAGCAAGAGATTCTTGAAAGATTTGGTTTAACAAAACCGGCAAAGGAGTCTTGTTATAGGTTCTGAGTGCACTACCTTTACATTGTGGAAACGTCACTAGTAAAAGTCAAAAAACGTATATTAATTTTGTTTAGTTCCAAAGATGCGTCATTGTTACCAAGCAAAATAACCGCAGGCAAGAGAAGTTTGAAAATTAACTTTCACAAAACCAGAAAAGGAGTTTAAAAAAGTTGCTGAGTTATTACCTTTAAATTGTAGAAACGCCACCGGTACACATAAAAAACCTACATTAATTTTTTGACATTGATCATGAAGATGATAATGACAGTAAACGATCTTACAAGGCTTAAAGGTTAACCTTTGGAATTTTTAAATCTTAGTCCAATATTATGAAGATGGTAAAGATGGTGTTGATCAACATCACCACTACTACAATTTAATATCATCATCATCATTATTAATATCATCATCACCACCACAATTACCACCATCACCACTACCATTACGGGCATGATCACAACATCATCGTCGTCGTCATCGCCATCATCTCTAGATTGCTACTCACAGCGAAAGAAGGGTGGGGTAATTCTTCGCGGAAACCGGTTAAAGATCAAAAAGAATGAGTTGGGGCTTTACAGTAGTTTATGACAACTGTCACGTCATATCGGCCTAGTTACTTGAGGAAGATCGTTCATCCCCAGCTTGTGTGCGAACATTGCTCTTGTGAGAAGATTGGTGATTTGCAGTGCCAGAGCCGCGCGGTACTTGTCTTTGCTTGATACTAGATATCGAACCTGCAGTAACAAACAAAAATTTAAACCTAAGCGAAAATGTTGCGTAAAGTATCCAGGATTCAATGTTCCGATTTAGGTCCTCGAGTTTGCGCACAACATACGCAACAGATATTGCACGAGCAAGAAGGGCTTTTGAGACGACAGAACTTCTGACCTCTGTTAGTTAAATTTGCTGTTGATACTACATATGTACCACAATTGTAACGATGCTGTTCCATTCGCAAGAAACAGAAAACACGACCTGATAAGAACAAGGCACAAGATAAACTAATCGATGATTTAAAGATGTGTGGCCACAGATTTGCAGGATACCCACACAGATAACCAAACCTTGACGGTGCAAAATAAATAACCAACAGGGTAGCCAACAATTGTACTTTGTCTCAAGATGGATTTCCACTGTTGGGAAGTTCATTCAAGTACCTAGAGATCTATGTGAACAAACAGTGAAGTTTATGAATACTCAGGACCTTGAGTATCGGCCAGGCTGTGGATCTAGCCCGCGGCTTCCAGCTCCACAGACCAGCGTTTTACAAACTAGGCTAACCCTCCTGTGGCCTAATTTCAAACTCTACACCGACCGATCCATATAATTCAAGATTGACTCGTCCATTCAATGGTAACCAAAAACCAATTTTGTATCCAGAAGTTAAAATTGGATTGGCTAAAGGGAACCATAAAGGGTTTTTCGTAACAAGGCAATTTATCTTGGTTTAGTTTAATTTGGGTGCACTCTTGCAGACAAGAGTCACTGACGTTTTTCTCTCTGTTTTGAAACCATTGTTTGTTTACCTTCCCTCTGTTCTGTCCTCGAACATCTAATTTTCGCTGCCTTGAAATGTTTGACTTAAACAGCTACTGTTCTCGCTTCATTAGGCTTACCTCGTCATGTATGCTGATACAGAAACGCCCGTCAATGTTGTACTTAGTAAACAGCCATTTCATACAGACTAACATGAGGTGCAGATAGTCCACCGCAGAGCTTTGAACAACCCAATTAACTCGACTTGTCATGAACTAGCGAAGAAAAATAGGTAAAAAAAAAAAAACACTAACATATTGAATCTAACTAGAACGTAAGAACTAGACACAATCCAGTTGCTCCCCTCACATGTTTGAACGTCGACCACCAATTCTAACCATCAATAAGTCCTGGAATGTCTGTAGATCTGTCTGTCGGTCGGTGAGTATAAATAGGTGGGTCTACCGAATCCCGGTCTGCCGGACTGTCTCAGTGCCCGGGCCATCCTTTTTAATGACGGTTTTCCGCCGGTCGGTTACTTATCCGTTTATTTAACTGTCTAACGGTTGCTTCACCACTCTCCCTAAACGTACTTTTATCTTTCTCAGAGTCATTCCCAGTTTTGACACTATCGAGTCTTACCTCGCTGCCAACAGCTGAGGGCTCAAGTGATTTGCTGATTCTGCAGCCTAACACAGGTGTTCTTGGTTCCTCAGACTGCGCAATGCTTTCTAACTTGTTAAACATGTGAGACTCACTATAAATAACGAAAAAAAAAAAGCACTTACACTGCATGCTACAAGAAAGCTATCACAACAATTACAATTGTCATTATTCACAAAAAGGCTATACTGAAACTCCTTAAGCTTATTCCTACAAGATCAACTTTCGAAGCACGATCCACATAGAAAAACAAAATTCCATTGATTAACAGTTTATTTGAAAAGAGCGTGAAACGCAAACGGAGAATTATCCAAACCAAATGGAACAAGTTACACGAAAGAATACCGCCACTGCTGACTTCTTGCAAAAAAAAAAATTATGCACAAAGAGTGCAAATGCAAATAATTTTATTCACAAAGGAGGCTTGGTGGTGAAATTTGCTTGTCTGACGTAGTCAAGCACAAGGACTATTACAATGCAATAAAAAAATTTAGCAATTTACCGTAAGGGCCCATTTCTTTCCTCAGGAGCAAGTCTAGGTTCCCGACTGGATTTTACAGTATGCACTGACAGTATTGCACTATAAAACTACTAGTTACCTTCCTCCGCACCATCTTCGGCCGTCGTCAATGCTGTTCGCAGAGGATCTAGAAAAACACAAACCAGCATCACTTCGCCAAGTTCGTGTAATAAATTGTAGGATAGCAACCGGGGCCGGCTTTTTCAGGGCTGGGTAAATATAACCCAGGGTTAGTGCAAAATTTGAATGCAGATATCAAAGCTAAAAAGGCAAATTCTGTTCAATTCTCTTGGTCTACAGTATGATGAGAGGATGCCCTGAATAGAATAGAGAAAATACTTTTGAACAACAAAAAAGGAAACCCGGATGAAAATTTAACCCCGGGTTAGTGGCCTTTGAACAACTGGGCCCAGGGACCCTACGATCCGATACGTCACTGAGAACAGAGGGAACCGCGACTGGGTGTAGACAGAGTAAAATTTATCGCCTTGCCGTTCCCGTTTTCATAAAAATTAAAATTTGGTCATTTCACAACGTATTGCGCAGGGACGGAAAAGAAATTTACAAAAAAGAGTGATAAACGTGCAGAACTGTATGTTGTTTTGATCATTAAAATTTAAAAAAATGCCTTTTTTGACGTTTACTGCCACTGTTACTGTCGTAGTTTCGTAAGCAGGTCGCTGCTACTACGACGACGGCAGTGAGAACGTCACGGTGAAATGCATTTGCATGCTTTCGTTGATATAGCCTATATCAATTTGTCAAATGTAGCGGTTCTGTGTTCTAAAAAAGGAAATAGACTATTTACTGTTAAAGGTGGAAACGACGCTGGAGTTGACCTTGTTTTGATACAAGCGTTCGTGCTTTATGATGTAAATCATGTTGTTCTTATGCAAACTGGTATTTTTTAAGCATAATTTCCACAAGAAAAGGAAAGAGGTTTGTATCAAAACAAGGTCAACCTCAGCCTCACGTTCACTCAAAGGCTAGGATACTAAGCTCACAACTGTAAAATGGTCTATTAAAAAGAAAATTCGTCCTTATCTGCTCACGTCCTCTATAAAACGTCACATTAAGAAGTTTCACGTCGTAGTTGGTCTACGAGCCTCAAAGATGTGCAAAAAAGCGTGATACACATGCAGAGTTATTGTTTGGCTAATCAAATCTATAGCTTTTTTGATGTTCTCGATGCCGTCCTTATCGTGGTTGTTTAAGCTCCCTAGTATCAATGGAACACGACAAAAGAAATTGCATTCCTGCGTTTTCTTTAAAGGGGCTAAGTCGTGGTGAGTTACAGTGGGTTACACATTTTTGGGTCAAGACTGAGATGAAAGAAAACCTAAGTATCCTCAGTCACATTTCCGCACACTAGGAGCTCTAAAAGAAAATTATAATGCAATTCTCCAATAGGCAAAACAAAGCAAAATGTTTTTGCAACTTTCCATCAAGAAAAGAGTTGCACGTTAAACAGTTAGCCCATTATTTCTCAAGTTGCTATCCATATAGATCCTGGTTATCGAACAACAAACACAAGCAATTATACTGCAGGTGGAATACTTTCTAACAACTGAGCCATTATATTTGGGATTTCTGTAAATCCAATGTGTTTTAGGGTTTTAATCAAAACCAAAAATCGTGACAGAGCCTCTTTTACAAAAAGAAGAATGTGAAGGAGGATGAAACAAACATAAAGTGCAGTTTATACAGTTACTGCGGTAAAACGCTGTCAGTATGTCATGCTTCACCAACCAATCTATCCGCAGCCTCGTTCCCAGTGTCCTGTTCTTTCTATCCCTTGAAGCGAGTGAGGGACGGGACGGGACGGGACAGGACGGGAAGAAGAGAGACCCTGAGGACGAAGTTGCTTTATCTTATGAAGAAACACTTTCACTAACCGTCCTTTTCGAGAAGTTTTCCTCAGCAGCTGGTAGTAAACTTTGGCAATGACGCATCCGTTTTCATCGATGTCATCCGTAAAGCCAAATTTCTCTGCCATTGCTTTTCCATATTCAGTAAGATGAAACCTGTAATGTGCATAAAAATCTTGAGATCACTACATTCGTCTTCATAACTGAACTTTACCTACAGTAAGACTATTGCATTAGTTCCCGAAACATAATTTAGCCCAAGTCAAAGTTAAAATTTAGAACAGGCAGCTGCAACACACGTTAAATTTCGTTGAAACACTAGGCTGAAACTGAATATTTTTCACGTCGCGCCTTCTCAACCAACTTATCTTTTTCCGAGTGTACTTCTTCGGCCTCAGCTGGCTTTAATATTTATCATAATGCCATGTGCCTCAGCAATTATCTATTAAGGATCGTAAAGTAACCGCTTAACACTGCAGCGAAGGCAAGTTGAACTAAAATCGCGGTTGCTTAGGTCTGTGAAAGCCAAGACCGCCAGTACCATGTTCGACTCGTGCCTTATTAGTCCAGATTTTGCTTTAATACAGATAATCACCAACGCGTTCAAAATTGCTTTCACTGGGAAGGTGACGAGGTTGACGATAATGACAAAGATAACAAATGTTGAACCCAGAGAGGAGGGTTGCAACAGTCATAGACCATACCCGCCATTTTTGCATGCGCTTTAGGGTCGATGGGATAAAAGCAATGCCACGTGGTATTTCAGGGGGCAAAAAAAAGACAAAATTTGCCAATACGAGAAATCACGGTGCGGAAAACGTTCTTACTAAATTTCTTGGCCAGAGTTATATCACTCCGATCATCTAAGAACAATAATTCAAGCAAGACGTTTGAAATAATATACAAATTTCAACAAACCTAACAATACCTGGTTAAACGTAATTAGCTTCATCAAATAAACACCCCTGAATTACGTGAACCGCCAGGTTCTGAAATTTTACAATTTAGGAAAGAGAGGTATTGAATAATTTGCCTAGAATGTACAGCCATAAATGATGCAAGAATAGAAAGCACATCAGTGTTACGAATCATTGCTGTTCGGTTGTTGTTTTTGCTTTCTTAGACGTTTTCTTCATTCACATCGTGTTGAGGTTTTTCATTTTGATCTTGTTCAGCTTTTACTCTGTTAACTCTAACAACAGCATTGGGTACTCCAAAAAGTCGCATCTCAATTTCTTCAGCGTCTACAGTGTGTACAGTTCTGAACAATAACTCAATAAAAGCGACTCTGAACTGCTTCATTCTCACCACATAAATAATCGGATTCAGCAGCGAGTTTAAGAAACTTAAGACTTGAGAAGAAAGGAACACCGTAAAAAATGCCTCTTTAGCTGTGTCAGTCGTAAATCTTAATAACATTACTGCAATCTTCGAAGGTACTAAACACAACATTAATACAGCTAGGATTATTGCTGTGAGTTTAACAGCCTTCTTATTTCTCTCAAATTCGTTCCTTGCCCTTAGTGTAGCTTGCTGAGTTGCAACTCACTGTTCATGTCGGCGAGTTTTAGATGCGACAGAGTATTAGATGCAACCTTAGTGCCCAAAAAAACCGTGACATGGCAGAAAAAGATCGCAACAAGAGACAGAGTATTAGATGCAACCTTAGTGCCCAAAAAACAGTTTCGTTGAAGAGTAAAAGAACGGTCTGAAGTACAGACAAGAATCCCGCCAATGTACAAGAAACAAGAAGGCGTCCTTCGGTGACGAGAGAGGGGTACCCAAAAGTATGCTTCATGTCTATGTACCGCTCCCCGCTTAGCAAAACCAAGTGGAAAAGCGAAGCATTAACCATAACTATAATCACATATCTAAGAACTTGAAGAACACAATAACCACGAGGCTCATTAAATAACAACATGATTAATACCGCGACGAAGGTGGGTTGAACTAGAATCCGGACTGTAAAGTCTGTCAAAGCCAGGAACGCCAGTAAAATGTTCGACTTGTGTGCTCTTAGTTGTGATTTGGCCTTAACAGAGATCATCACCAGCGCGCTCAAAACTGCGGTGATTGGAAAGGTGATGATATTAAAGATAATGAGGAAGATCAGAAAAGCTACGCCAGAGGGGAGGGTGATGTAGTCTTTTGCCGAATAGAATTTCAGCCTCGCAACCAGCAGGGCTTGGGTAGAACTGAAATTCATGGCTTCTCGTCGTACGATATCGGACTTTCTGCTGCTCAATAAACTCATTCTGGGCTTTAAAAGATTTGGGCGGTAAACTGTGTTGTTGTCTTAGCAAACATCTGTCATCCTTTGCCCTTTGTTAAGCTTTTTGTACACTGAATTTTATATATGCATTTTCGCATTAGTAAGGTTGAATTTTCGGCCGATAATTAAAGTTGGATAATCTTTTCATTTTCTAAATATCCGCTTAACGTCTTAAGAAATAACGTCACTGCTTTTGTGAGAAATCATAAGTAAAGACTAAGTGACAGGGGCGCTGGGGCAACTCTAAAACCTGGCGCAACAAGAAAGAGCGAAAGATACAAGAGGAAACAATGCAGATACGTAAGTGTATGTAGGATTTCTTTTTCCGAGGTGGAAAACAAAAAAAAAATTGTCCGAAAATCGACGGAAATGGAGCCGAGTACACCTAATACTGCGTGCTCGACAATTTTTAGTCGTTAACATGGCAAGCATGAAAACAGCAACCATGATATCGTCAATTTGATATTTTGTTTGTAAAAACTTATCCATTTGATTATTGTTTGTGTTGATAAGTTACGAAACGTTTTTTTCTTTTGCTGTTGCAAATTATCTACATGTAGTACACAAAAAAATCCGCAGCAAAAAAATAGTCCGCTATTTCAAATAATAATAATAATAATAATATAGATTCTTATATAGCGCATTTCTATCCTCAATGCGCTTATATACTGGACAGACAAAAGTCGCGATTTAGCGATCGTCCGATTGATCAAACTTATTCGAACATTTGTTCATCGCTTGGTAAGCCTCACATTCTAGTTGAAAAGCTGATATTAGACTTTTAGGTTAATGCCGCAGTACCTCGTCAAAATGTGGACAGATTATACCCATATTAACCAAATTTCTTTCCAATTTGAACCAATTTTCAGTCACTGCCTCATAAAATCATACATAAAATCATGTTGACTCGGTTGTTACATCATAGTCCAAAGATGTCTGGGCACCCAATCACTTTCGTCTGTAAAATAACTGTTGGAAGGAGAAACTATTGCCGAGAAATTTGTCAAGCTCTAGAAAGGATAACTGCTCTACGAGTAATATATTCACAGCTTTCTTTTAAAATACCTAAGATTTTCGGGGTTATGTTTTTCACATTTTTTAGCACCAAGATATCTGTATAACACCTCTAACAACGTTCTAAAAAATAAAATTAAAGCAATAATAACAGAGATAGGATTATGGATGTCCTTGTGAGTTTGACAACCTTTTAATAGCTATAAAATTTTTCCCTTGCCTCTTGTGTCGATTGCATGCTAGCCTGTTCTGAGTTGTTGTTCGTTATGGCGAATTTCACAGCAAACTCTGACATGAAAGGAAAAGATCATCGCAAAACTGAGGCAGTACTTCTAGATGCAAACATGTTGCGCAAGGAGCCTGTTGCTCAGGAGAAAATAGAACTGTCTGGAGTATGATCAAGAACCGCGCTAAATCTTTAGCAATAAACAAGCGATCTTCGCCACGAAAAGGGTAACGGTATGAAAAAGGTTGACTCTGGATATGAAATGCTTCTTGCTTAACAAAGCCAAGTGAAAGAGCGAAGCAACAACCAAACACTTTAAAAGGCACACCCGAGAACTTGCAGAACACAATATCCACGAGGCTTTTGAAATAAAAAACAAATAACAATAACATGTGTCTCAGCAAATATCAACAAACCTAAATAGACCTAGCTAGGAGTAATTATGTCCATCAAAACAACAAAATTGATAACGCCAGCTGTTTTTACAGTTTCAGAAAAAGGAGCATCATTTTAACAGTTAGTTCAACACAATTGTTGTTCGTGCTTACACGTTTTCTTCATACACATCTTGCTGAGGTTGGTCAGCTTTTACCCTGTTAACTCTGACCATAGCCTTAGGTACACCAAAAAATCGCATCTCAATTTCTTCAGCATCTGCAGTATTTACAGTTCTGAACAATAACTCAATAAAGTCGACCCTGAACTGCTTCATTCTCAACGCGTAAATAACTGGCTTAAGCAACGAGTTTAAAAAACTTAACAAATTAGGAAAAAGGCAAATATTAAAATTGTCTCATGAGTTACATGACCACTAAAACTTTGACACAACAGTGACAGCAGCGCTTCCAGGTATAAAACACAATTAAATGATAACGCAGCAAAGATTATGGACGTTAGTTTAATAGCCTTCTTATTTTTCTCAAATTCTTCCTTTGCCTCTAATGTGGTTTGCTGAGCTGCAAGTTGTTTTTCGTGTCGGTGAGTTTGAAAGAAAACAGTGACATGGCAGAAAAAGATCACCGCGAGAGATACACTAATGAAAATTGCTGAACCCCGCAAGACCATAGTTTTGCTAACGAGAAACAGAAGCACTATCTGAAATAGGGATAGGAACCACGCCAATGCACTAGGCAACTACGTGGGCAAGCAACCCTCATTGACCAACTCGGGTAATATAAAAGAAAGGATTAGTCATGGCTACGTGCCGCTCTGCGCTTAAAAAAAAAAACAAGTGGAAGAGCGAGGAAACAACGGACAAAAATACTAGCATATCTAAGAACTTGCCAAACAAAATATACACGAGTCTCGTCAAGTAACAACATGATTAACATCGCGGCGAAGGCAGCGTGAACTAGAATCCCGACAGTAAAGTCTGTCAAAGCCA